TTCTGGTAACTGGTATATTTCCACTTGTCTGTAAGGACAGCCAGTGTTTGAGGATGAAATGACACTTTCTAACTAGCATTTGCTTTTACCTGCCTTTGTTTCTCTTCTAGTGGAGACTCAGAAAGACACGTAGAGCTCACTTAATGTCGCTTTTCCTTCTTTAGATGTAAGCTGTTATAAGAGCCTGAAATATGTGGTAGGCACTTTATTGCCTCATTTACTGACATCACATTAGAGTTGGTTTTTTATTTCAAGGTTATTATGAAGACATTTACATGTATTATATAAACATTTATGTTTATATTTATATATACTATTCTTAACTCTGCCATCAGTTAGGAAAGTATATTTGTGAGGTGTAGAAAACAATGAATAAAAATGGGAAACAAGTAGCACAATTATATATTAGAATTTACAAAGCACTTTCCTTAATATTAATTTATTCAATTACTGTTGCATTCATTAATATTATGTTAATTTTACATTCTAGATGACTGAGGGTTAAAATATTTTAAAAAATTACTCAGTATCACAAAGCCAGGTCCAGCAAATTCAGGAGTTTAAATGTAGATCTTGCAACTCCTAGTTTAAGGGTCCCCCCATATACACTTGTAAGTAGAGGGTGGTGATAAAGAACACACACAAAAAAATAGGCTTTGATGGGAAGTATTCCTGGGTGTGTTGCCATTTATTAGTTATGTGCATGAGAAATTGACTATCATTTGAACCTTCATTCACACACACACACCCCTATGGTAAGGAGTTATTCTACCTCTCTGAACTATTCAAGGTTAACAAGATAATGTGTATAGCCATTGAGTACTGTGTATGCTCCCCACAATCTCAGTAAACAATCATCACTGTTCACAAGTTCACAAGCATGAATAGTGCCATAGTGAGTAGACTGCTGTATCCTTATGTTTTCCCTTCTTGCTTATGATAAGAAGGGTTTTTTTCCCTTGCTATTAGACAGGCTGGGCATAACATTCTTCAGAAAAATGGAATAGGTATAGAGATAACTAATCTTTATTTAGTAGAAGGAAAAGGAGGTGGTGTATATGAGCTAAAGTTTGTGGACAGGCTGAAATTGAGAAAAAAAAGCACAAAAAAAGTGAGGAAAAAATTATGTAGTCAGGGTGGTAATCATTAAAATCATGTAAATCTTGCTGTAATATCTGTGTGACAAAAAAGAATTGACCATAAACAGAAGCATTTATTAGTTTCAGTCCCAGTTCTAGTACTGTGTTACTCACTGGCATATTGTACTTCTCTGAGATAAAATGGTAAGAGTGAAAATATGATGATTTTCACAAAGCTTAATTTGTCCAGTTCAAATACCTGCTTTTTGATATTCAATTTTTCTGATGATTAGGTATTCTTTTCTTTTGGAATGTAATATTAGTAAACAGTTGGTAGATTTTTTTTTTTAGAAAGGCCTTTACTAGTAAAAATAAAATGGCAGATAAATGTCTGTTCTTTACATTGACTAATATTATTCCAAAATCCCAAAGCCTAGAAATTATGAAATGGTCAATCATCAAGTTTTTTATAGTTTTGGGAACTTAATCTTCTAGCTAATAAAAGAAAAACCATACAGACTATTCAGTAGAGAATCAAACATAGTGTTCTGAAGGAGACATTGTGATCTTTAGTTTTAATTGTCAGCTTGAAGTCATCTAGCATCAACTGGAAAGCATGCCTGAGAGAAGGGTTTCTAGAACAGCTTGTCCTATGGGTTTGTCTGTGGATATTGTCTTGATATGTTAATTGATGTGGGAAGACCCAGCCTAAAGGTGGGTGGCACCACTCCCTGGGTTTGGGTCCCAGGTTCTCTAAGGCTAGAGAAAGCAATCTTAGCAGTAAGCTTACATTCATTCCTTCTCTCTCTGCTCTCGACTGTGGATGTGATATGACTGGGTATTTTTAGCTCCTACCGCCTTACCTTCTCTGTTATGATGGACTGTAAGTGGGAGTTATGAGCTAAAACAAACCTTTAAGTCCCCAAGATGCTTTTTGTCCAGGTATGTTGTCACTGCAGAAGAATTGAAAGTAGGGTGGAAATCAGTGCATTAGTTTCTAATAGTTGATAGTTTTGGACAGAGTCTCAATGATTAGTCTGCAGGGAATTGTACTCTAAGATAGAAATGACATGGAGGTTGTTGTCACTCAGCACAGAGAAAATATGCTAGAAGCATCAGCATAATATATAGATTAGTAAAGAACTATCTACAGGATGTAGTTTAGGGGCAAATGAGAGGCAAGATAAAAGCCATGGTAGCAAGAGAGATTATATACAAAGAGTAGCTCTGGAAGTTTGTACCAAGATAGATCAGAGGCCCCCAAATCAGATCATCGTGGAGTCAACCAAGGCTATCTGGAACTCTTTAAAATGTTACCAAATTGATTTTTTCCCGTTATGTCCTGAGGCTGGATATAACTATTGAATTTCAGTGGGTAGGCTAGAGATGGTGTTCATCAGCAATTAAGTAAGTTTGTTTTGTTTTTACTACTACATACAGGTTTTATGTAAACATTAAACATCAATAGTTAAAGTAACCAGGCAACCAAAGTATTACATAACAGTAATCAGTAAAATTGCAGAAACTCACAATTTAGCAGATTCTCCATATATTCAATATACCTTAGTTGAATGAATACCTTTGAAAGATATATTAATTACAGACATCTAATAGCTAAGTGGTTTATTTCATTGAAATGATTTTCTAATGGTCTTAATTAATGTAGCTTCCAAAGTTCATTTACTTGTAAGCCAAAGGGTGTTTTGGTCTTTGGAAAATTTAGCTTTCTGTTAAGAAGATATAGTTTATTTTAATTCTGAATATAATAAATGAACTAACAGCTTTTCAAAAGAAGTACTTTCTGAAGGAGATGGCCAGGAAAGTGTTAATAACTATGAAAACAAATCAGGGAACAGATACTCAAAATACAATTATTGTGACAAATAACATTCTTCTTGAGAGCAGCATATGATCTTAGTGCGTTCAGCAGGGTTTGACTTACTATTACTGTATGTCCTAGATATTTCTTGGGTGTTCACTAAGTGTCTGAGTCTGGGGATACAGAGAAGTCTTTGCTCACCAGGCTGTTACTATTTCCAGGAGGTGTCAGTAATCTTAAAAATTACAGTGCTTTGTACTGGAACTTATGGCTGTCTCATCCTAACCCCAGGAGCATGAGTATATCTTTAAGGACATAGGGGTATTAGAAAATTGAAGGAAGCAGGTGTTAAGGCTAGAACCAGTATTTAATTCATGTTATAACTTAGTTTTAGACACCATCTCTCCATGATCCAATCTGAGGTTAGCTTCATTCTGTGTAGTCATACCTTTAGAGGGTTCTCAGCACTTCCCAGTTCAATACAGCATAACCTCCACATTTTCTGCTTGCTTAGATTGGCAGAGAATTACCAGGGAATGTTAGCTGAAGGTGATCTAGTCCAGTTCTATCCAGATTTGTTAATCCCTTCTGGCTGAAGGAAGGAAAGTAGATTTTTATAGTGTTTTCTGAGCTCTGATACTGCCCACCGTGCATCTACCTTAGGCTGGGTTGGGTGGGGTGGGGGAAAAGGGGTGGGGGGGCTGGGGTGAGGGATGGACCTATGCTCTGCATTCAACTGTCATCTAGTCTATTTTACCCAAGAATGCCCTGGGATGTTCCTATGTACCCATTTTTCGTAAAGTAACTACCTTCATCTGCCAAGTAAGAGGGCTTGTATTATCCCAGAAAGAAGCTGAAAGTGGGGCCAGGGGTGCGACTGACTCAGAGTGTGTCTGGATTTTCTTCTTCTTTCTGGTGCTAAGATGGGCCTCAGAATAATCTACAAGCTATTGAGGGTGGGAATTTAAAGAGCAGAGGTTGTAGTGCATCTGGAAGCCTAGACTGATCTGTGTCCAGGAGTTATAAGCAGGCACACTCTAATTTTTGACCAGGGGCTGGATCTGAAAGGCTTTATAGCCCCTTTCTTCATCAGACACACTCACCTGCAGGAGGGCTAAGTCTGAGGGTTGTTGTTAAGGAGACATTGGAGGAGCATCTTTACTTTTACAGTGTAATACATCGGCCAAGGAGTGGCTCAAATCTACAGAGTACCTTGAAGTCCAAGTGCAGTCCAATGGATTGCTTGACCTTGCCAAAGTCAACAATGTATGGAAAGCTCAAGGCTCTCTCTCCTACATAAGTAGCAGGACCATGGAGCATACTGATTCTTTTGGACTCTCCTGATTAGGAAACTCTTTGACCTGGGCATTCTGTTTTCTCTCCCCCAGCTTGGTCTCCCATTTCCCTTTTCAGGAGAAATGATGTTTCTCTATAGCTGTCCTGTGAGGCTCAGAGTTCTGCACTCCTAGGCACGGACTCTCCTTTGCTCTCTGTGCCTTGGCAAAAATTATAGTCACCACCACAAAACCCTTTACAACTAACAACATTTACTGCTTTAACCCCCAAAGGAAGGCACAGAGTGGACAATATGACAGAAGTACTCAGGACAGACTGACACTCAGGCAGTGAAGTGCCCTTCCCAGAGCCTCCTGGGGAGGGGATGTGAAAACAAGACATCTGCTCTTGCCCAAGATGGTACCACAGTACTGTTTCAATCCCACTGGCCGCTTCCTGACCCTAGAGGGTTAAATCAGTAGGGCACAATGACCACCCTTCCCCCTTTTTTCTTCCTTCCCCACCCCTTACCTTTAAAAAGTTAAAAAATGTCTGCAGTCAAATCTCTTAAAGGGGCGGTGCTGGTGAACAGTGCTCTTGGCACGAGTTGCTGAGAAGGCTGGCTAGGGGCGTGAGTTCGCTCCACCAGCACCAAAACACTGAAAAAAAAATGCGAGCAAGCAAGCAAGAGCGAGCGAGCGAGAGCGAAAGAGAATAAGGGGGGGGGGGAGGAAGGGGAGGGGGGCAGATAGACACACACTTTAGATAAGGACAATTAGTCACCATCGAGACCCAGTAGGGAGAGAAGTTTAAATCAGAGGGATTTAATGAGGGTGCTCTGTGCTTTCCCTGAAGCCATGTCCTCCAGCAGCTCCTGCCCCCCCTCGTGCCTAGCCCTGGTGGCTCTCTTGGCTCTGTTGCTCCATCTCTCTCTCTCCTTTCAAGCTGGAGACAGGAGACCCTTGCCTGTAGACAAAACTACAGGTTTGAAGGAAAAGACCCTGATTCTACTTGATGTGAGCACCAAGAACCCAGTCAGGACAGTCAATGAGAACTTCCTCTCTCTACAGCTGGATCCCTCCATCATTCATGATGGCTGGCTCGATTTCTTAAGGTAAGGCAGGGGCTTCGATGGATCATTTAAAAATTTAAGTACCCCCACCCCCATTCTCTTCCTGTCCCCTGCTCCAAAGGGGGAAGAAAAGAGGAGGAAGAAGAAGAAGGTGGAGGAGGAGGAGAAGAAGAGGAGGAGGTACAGCAGCAGCAGCAGGAGCAGCAGCAGAAGCAGCAGCAGCAGAAGCAGCAGGAGCAACAGCAGCAGCAGCAGCAGAAGCAGCAGCTAACTGATCTGTCTTTCAAAGAGAAAAAAGGAGGTTTCCCCCCTCCTGGAATATTTGCTGTGAGGCTGTAACTAGTGATTGAGAAAAGCAATGTTTTCTATTAAGATGCACATGTTTGCAATGCAGAAGGCATTTCAGAAACTTATCAGTTATGACTGAAAAAATGTTGTGCTTACATATATCCACAATTAGCTTCCCCTTCTGAGAAAGAAACAAGAGGTTCAGGGAAGTTACAAAAGGGGAGATCTGGAACAACAAAGACTCCAGAGGAGTGGCTGTGTGTGTGTGAGAGAAAGCAGTGTGCGTGAGTCTGGGTGTTCAGTTGGATTGCATGAAAGTGGAATTTGCCACGGAAAGATGGTTTCATCAGTTTTTCACTCCTAGACAGAAAATGAATTTAAGGAGAGTCTGGAGTGGTGAGCGAATTGAATTGGAGTTAAAATGTTTTATTTTGTATTCTCCGCTGTCATTACCAGACTTGAGGACTTTGTAAGACACTTTTTATGGATGTAGCCCTTCCCCCTCCGCCCTCTTTGAGTTTTCCTTGGTAACTGCATAGTTTAGTTTTTCTTTACAGTGAGAAAAAAAAAAAATTGTTGCTCGGGTCGTAGTGTACATCATACGCGATCCATAAAGGTCCCAGAAACTCTCAGGGGGAAGAGTTGGGGGTTTTGAATCCGACCCTGGCGGTGGTGGATTAGCAAACTCGGAGGTTGAGATTCTCTGGCAATCTAATTGGGTTCACCCTGTTCCCCAGTTGTTACTATTCTGGCAATTGAGCAACCTCGATCCCTTCTCTTCAGGGACAGTTGTAGGGAGGGGGGTGCTGGAGATAAAAAGAAAAAATACAAAAGAAAAAAGGGAGGAAAAACTTCTGTAATATCGAATCTCCAAGTGTTAAGTTTTTGAAAATTCCCTCCAAGTTAGAGCCTCGGTTTGGGCTCTTCCAAAGAGCCTAGAGTGCTCTCCATCTCATTCCAGATCCGAGGCTGCGTCCGACACACATCTTTAGTGAGCATTTTTCACTCATCGAGAAATTGGAGTTTTGCTTTTCCGGGTGCGCCCGCCCCTTAGTGCTCTGCCTCCAGTCTGCGGATGCAGCAGGTAGCTGTGGGCGCTGCTCTGAGCGCTCCTACCAGGTTCGGGTAGCGTAGCCCAAAGACCCAGAGGTCGCCGCCGCCAATGCAGAGGCCGTTTTGGGGTTCCAGAGGGTACAGTTGTTGGGAGGGCAGGAACAGCGCTGCACTACCGGGTATCGTCCTTGAAAGCTTTTCTGTGCAGAACTCTTCTCTGAATTCATCCAAATGTGGGGTGCAACAGGGGTTTTCCTAAATGCACACCCCACTTGCATTGCACTGTTCAGCTGCCCGGACTTGGAGTTTCTTCTTCCTCCTCCTCCTTAAAAAAAATGTCAGCTTGTTCGCGCTAAATATTTGCCTGCTGCAGAAAAATTCTGGAAGGCAGCTTTTCGGGGAAGAAGCCGTGGCGGGGCGCATTTGCATTGGCTGTGCAGGCTTTATCCGGAAGATTGGAAATGCTGCGTTTCCCTGGGGCCACACTCGCACGGACATCCCTCCTGTGCTCAGCCGGCCCACGCGACGCCTAAACTGCGCCCGCACTGGAACTCGGTCCGGGAAAGCCTAGCCAAACCTTCGGCCATCGGAACTCTCAGGGTAGACATGTATCTTCCCCACAAGTATCTGAAAGTGGAGTTTCCATTTGTTCTGTGCCTTTTGAATCCACCTCCTTTATGATACTCTTTAACGTCTCCATTTTGATTTGGATTCTCAGAACCTGAACCAGCAAAGCGTTAAAAACAATGTATAGACCGGAACTCAACAGCTGATTGCTTCAGCATTTACAGCATCTGCAGGGCTGGTTCCCCCTTCCTTCCCAGAGTAGCAGTCTTTGGCTTTTAAAAACCTGTTGATGGAAATCATGAACTTGAATAGATGCAAATGTTATTGTTTTGGTAATCAAAATTTCCCCGACGCTCAAGTTCCAACATTCGCCAAACTTTTTTTTTTTTAATCCGTCGCTACCAAACTGCTTCAAGTGGCAAGGAGTTGGGGCCAGGAGTGGTTTGTGTGTGTGTCGGGAGGGATGGGGAGAATGCTATTTTTCTTGAAATCAGGTTGAGTTATTTCAAGTGCCAAAAAGACACAGATTCTAACTGTGGGATTTTTTTTTCCGCGGCGGGGGTGGGGGTGGGGGTGGGTGGGTGGCGTCCTCTGAAAGGCTGGGATTTAGCCTGGGAACCTCTCTGCCTTCCTGGAGATTTGGGAAGCTACTAAGTTACAGTGTAGTTAATAGGAACGGAAAATCAGTTTTGGCATTAAAAAAAAATCCTCTTAACCTTAGGTGCTGTGCCTGGATTTAGACAAAGTAGGCCAAGTTTCACCATCTTAGAGGTTACTATGCCCCTGGGGCCGAGAGGCAACGCGGACTTCAGCTTGGAAGTTTGGCAGCAGTAGGCTGGCGGTCCGCTCTTTGCGCGTCTGTGCCAGGAGCGCTTTCCTAGTAGTGGCAGAAGCCAGCCAGTTGCGTCTGGGCCCCAAGTTCGCCGCACAAATGCCCCTACCCCAACACACGGAACAAACACTTCTCCAACCCTTTAAAAGTCAGTTCTTAAGGCATCCAGGTGGGAGGGCGCAGCTGCGGCCGGCCGGGTCAGGAAGAACAGCCCCAGGGAATCCGGAGGCTGAGGGTAAGGCAGGCAGCAGAGCCGGTTCACCCGAGCCGCCGCCGCAGAGCAGCCCCCTGCCTCTTCGGACAGCAAACTGGAGAGGGCTTAGATAATAAATCTCCCGCCGTGTCTCCTGCAGGGAGTGAGAAGGGGCCTTGCTCCCTGACCAGTGCGCTCTAGCTTTCTCCCGGGATCCTTTCCTCTCTCTCTTTCTCTACCCCTGCAGCTCCAAGCGTCTGGTGACCCTGGCCCGGGGACTCTCGCCCGCCTTTCTGCGCTTCGGGGGCAAAAGGACGGATTTCCTGCAGTTCCAGAACCTGAGAAATCCGGCGAAAAGCCGCGGGGGCCCGGGCCCGGATTACTATCTCAAAAACTATGAGGATGGTGAGAAATTTGGTCCCGATTTTGAGTGTTGGAGGAAATTGGGGGTGGGAGCAAGCACTCTGCCGTGTGTGTGTGTGTGTGTGTGTGTGTGTGTGTGTGTGTGTGTGTGTGTGTGTGTGTGTGTGTGTGTGTGTGTAGGGGGCTAGGGGGCAGACTTGGAATAGAGAGTCTGTTTAAAGTTCCCCTGAGAAACTACAGCAGCATGCTAGGGTTCACAGAGTGTGAGACTCCTGAGGTGACCATGCAGAGAGAGCTCCCCAGGTTGTCTATACCCAGGCTGTCTGATTTTGTGCTGTGCCTTGGAGACTCCAGAGTTCTGGAACCTATAGGCCACACTTCGTTTGCCTAGTTCTGAGTTTTATTTTGTTTTGTTTTTGAGAAAATATAGCCAGGTTCCCAGATTATTGAAGAGCCAGACACAGTTCATTCCTAAAACTCTAGGCACGTGTACCTTTTGTTTGTCTTATTTCTTATTTTCCTGGAACGGAAGATAGAGAATTTAACCTTTTTAGAAGCCCACTCTAAAATTTAATGGAATAATATGTCTTAGATTGTTTCTCTGTGAGGAAACCTTCTTTGGACTGCTTAATCTGCCGTCATATGTTTTCCCTCAGTTTAACAGTGGCATTGCAGATGTCAGCTTTCTTTACAGCCAGAATCAGATGACTGAAGTTTTGCAAAGGCTTTGAAAGCTCCAAATTCTAGTCCTGTGTAAGAAGCCAATCATTTTAAATTTGAACAATTTTGTTTTTATTAAAATGAATGAAAATGTAATTTGAAAGTGTTCTGTAAAAGGTTTGGTGTTAATATCTATGAACTTTTCAGTGTGACCAGAGATACAATTTCTTTCAGAGATAGGTGGCAATTGTAGCATCTTCAGCTACCCATGCTGTTAAAGTTGGTAGAAGAGACATTAGTGTCTCTTTTTTGAGGGCTCTTTCTCCTGCTGTTCCTTCTCATATTATTATTATTATTATTATTATCTTAAGGAACTGGGCACAGGTTTTCAGAGTCCTTGGGATTTTGTTACAGCTTGTTCTTATAAATCACCCAAACAAGGAGATAGCTGTTATTTTGGGACTTCACTGAGAGGTATTAGGATCTATTTCAAGGATAGGGTAGCTGATGAAATTGTGTATATGTGTATGTGTGTGTGTGTGTGTGTGTGTGTGTGTGTGTGTGTGTGCGCGCGCGCGCGCGCGTACCCGCCAGAGTAGACAGAGGGCAAGATTACAGCTTGTTGAGTTTGAAGCATTACTAAGACTTACTCTTTGAAGTATTTGCGCAGAGCAAAGGTATTTAAGACTTTATCTTTTCAAAGGTGAAAGTCATTGCTATAAAATGTGAATTGCATGTAGCATGAAACACTGAAAGTAAAAGACAATCTGAACAGCATCTCTGGTGGTGATGTGACCCCGGGTCTCATTGCTGTCAAGGTCACTGTCAGCTCTGGCATCAGACAGAAGAGGGGATGTATTAATGATTTTCCTGATGAGATAGTTTTTGTTCAAATTCATTAAAACTACTTCCTCTTTAGTTTGTGGGAAAACTTATAAGACATCCAGAAATTGCTGGGAGGAGAAAAAGAACAGGGTATAAATTTTAGAAATTGACTCTTTTCTTCAAACCTTGCATTAAAATTCTGCCAACCCTTCATTGAGTATAGTGAATTCTGCTTAAAGTGAAGAATACAATTTATTTACCTTTATAAAAGGGGAATGTGGGCATCATGTGGAGAAAAGGAATTGGCAGAGTTGTGTCTGTAAAACTTCGCAGAACTAAAAACCAAAACACCAACCCCAAACCGAAGACTAGAAAAGTCTATTCCCTTTCAGTCCTTCTACTACTTCGGAGTCAATATAGGGCTATCCCAGGTGAGCTTTTCTACCCACCAAACCCAGCATTAAAACCCGTAGGAGGAGAGTTTTCATGCCTGAGGGAGAGAGTTCTCCTACCTTTAGTTTTTCTTTTTTGCCTGCAAATTTCTCCTGAACTTACTTTTTCTAAATATTCTTCAGATATTTACAGTGATACTTGTATATTTTTAAAGATACATACCTTCAAAATAGCTTGTCTTTGGTGTGGGCACCAACCCCACAGACTACCTGGATTTAATTCTTTTAAAACTTTCTTTAAAGTCAGCCCTTCCAGACCCTAATCTGTTTTATTGCTCCTAGCTGAACTCCTTCTGATTTATGTCTCCCTGGTAATAGGATGCTATGAACTATATCAGCAGTTGAGGCCTTACCAGAGTTAAAGAGAGTAGGAATGCCCTATTCTTGCCCTTTGATTCTCATGTATCCTTAAATCACCCATGGTGTCTTTGCTGTTAAATGTTACATTGCAGAATTTCAGACAAAAGTATTTTTGGTATAATAACAGTTTTACTAACATTCTATTTCCATGTCACTTTTTACCCAGTGATAATTGTAATTATCACAGACATCTCAGAATAATTAGATTCTTTTAGTAAATGGCTCTGCATTACATGCTTGACTATCAAGTCATTTTATTAAAATATATTCACTTGAGGTTCAGGCCACACTAGTCAGAAGAACAGATGACCTGTCTATTGGAGAAAGCAGGGTATTGAAATAACTTATTGTTCCAGGCTATGCTCAACATTTGTAACTAAAATAAATATCTGTGCAAAATATAAATAAAAAGACTACTACTTGAGAAAATATTCACTTAAACATGTTATTGAATAACAATGTACTCATGAATGAATTATGAAAACCAATGATACAGTGAAGAAAATATGGAACTTGGGCTTAGAAAGCTCACACTGTAGGCCTGGATCTAACACTTAGGCCTGTGTGGCCCTGAGCTTCTTGCTTCTCAATAACATGTAAATAATGATGATGATACCTGCTCTGCATTTTTTTTCTGTGAGGACTCTAAAAGGTAATTTGTAAATATTTTATTGATGACAAAGCACGATAAGAAGGCTAATGCTTCTTACAACATTTACATTTAATGTTGTAAAGTGGTAAGTGAGTAGGATTAAGATCAAGAAAGATTCAAGTCAGTGTGAAATAAAGAGTTTGGCTTAAGGGATCATTTGAGAGAGAATTTAAAGAATATAGGGACACTATAAGATAGCGAAGTGAGATGCCAAAGAAGCCTTTTTGTGTGTGATGATTAGAGAAGAGATTAACCTTTAGTTTTATGATATACTAACATTAAAATGAAATGTAGCTCCTGCTTGGGCAAACCCCACATTTTTCTAGTTAATTCACTCATAATGCTACTCTGTTGTGAATTTTTCTCTTGAATTAATAATGTAATTAATAAGTCATGTGGTTTCTATTTTTCAAATGCTTTGAGCACAGTAGAACAATTACACTTTCTTGAAGTTTGTGAAGCCATTGTTTATGTATCAATTTGGTACAATTACTTATTTTACTGTGTGCTGGGGCAATTTGAATTTCACCTAAGCATAGTAATGATGGAGGAAGTAAAACAGTGATTTCTTTTTTAAACCCTCTGAATCTCACTTTGCCTAACTCTCTCTCTTCTGTGTGATGTGTTTTACTTGTTTGCTACAACATAATGGGTGAATATTTTCTTAGGTCTGTTTTGTTCTAGCCTACCCCTCTTCATTATGTCTTTAGTGTTCTTTATTTGTATGACCTTCTTTGTATGGCTATAACCATATCTGTAATGAAGATGTATACCGTTTATTATGCATATTAAAAACTAAATGTGTAAAATTATATGTTTATCATGTTTACAATTTTTTTTTTCTGCTAAAAAGCCTTGGTTATTTGCGGATTGCTTATATAATCTTTTCAAACTCTTCAACATGGTGTTTAAAACCTTTCACATCAGTCTCTGCTTTTCCTACCCTGTATTTCTGTGTACTTTTTAATATGGCCTTCTTTGATTATTCAGATCTCCCTAAAGTACCTTTTTGTTTTAAACCCATGGTTTTTCTTTTCTTTCTTTTTTTCTTTTTTTTTTTTTTGGCTAGCATATTTCTGCTTGGATGTCTTTCTCCTGACTTTATTCAAATCTCACCCCACTGCACTTGATTCTTAAAGGGATACTGCAATACTTTATTTGTACAGTCTCTTTTGAGCAGGAAGTTCCAAGTGATCTTTTCTTATTCTGGAAGGCATGCTTTTATTCTTTATGCTCTTTTGGCTCTTTCTACTTTGTCTTGACATGTAACTTCCCATAAATATGTTCGGTTCACCTTTCCAAGTGAAATGCAAAGTATAGGAGGGTATTGTAGCTACATATCATAAAATTGACACATGATAGATCTTCAGTAAGTATTCCCAGTAGTTTATTATTTAGCAAATATTTCCAGTAGTCTAATAGTCCTGTGAAAAGCTCTAGGAAGATAGAGTGACCAATGAAGCAATGAGCCAAGGTAGATGTAAAGGTTTTTTTTTTTTCTTTTTGGTTTTTTCGAGACAGGGTTTCTCTGTGTAACTTTGTGCCTTTCCTGGAACTCACTTTGGAGACCAGGCTGGCCTCGAACTCACAGAGATCCGCCTGCCTCTGCCTCCTGAGTGCTGGGATTAAAGGCATGCGCTACCACTGCCCAGCAATGTAAAGGTTCTTTATTCTTTTGCCTCCATTGCATGTGCCTGTGAAGTCCATTCTAAGTGCTATTTTAGTAAATTTTTTACTTTTTCAGCTCCATATACAGACATTTTATCTCTGTTTATTAAAGTTGTCTTGGTTATGTCCAGGCTATGCATTAAGTCTAACTTTACCATTAAATTTGAACCTTTGCATTGGGACAGAGGTAACTGTTACTGTACATGCTTTTTTGTCTTTAATTTTGCTTTTCCTTGTTTGCTTTCTGTAGTTCCTATGTCTGATTTTATTGTTCTTGATATATTAGTGCTTTTTCACAATTTCATGTACCTTTAATCTTCATTTCTTGAAGACTTTTCAGAGAGCTTCTGCTATTCTTTTTTTTTTTTTTTTTTTTCGAGACAGGGTTTCTCTGTGCAGCTTTGCGCCTTTCCTGGGACTCACTT